ATCATTGTAAATCCACGTGTGTTCTTCAAATTATATATAAGTCGTTGAAACAAAAAATTATGACAACAAGGCATGTAGACTGTAGAACACTTCATTTATTTTCGAAAGAAATTTTTGGCCAGTCCTCTGGCCTTCACCAGCTATACTGAATGTACAAGTTGGCTGTTACAAGTTCTATACTGTACAATATAAAAAATACAATAGAGGTGTAGAGCTATAATCCGTCTGTTGAATTTGTTTATACTGTATGCTATATTTTCATGTTTTATTATTTTTATTTTGCCATTTACTTTTATTCAGTTTTTATTATCTTTATTATTTTTTTTAATTTTTTTTATTTTTAATTCTATGTATGGATTTTTTAGCAATTTCTATTTTAGAAAGAAGCTGGCCCCTGTAAAGGTGTTCGTCATATGTTAACCCGTCTCCTTCACCTGTATTTTTATAAGTGAGAAATTTATTAAATAAAAATAATATTTTTAAAAAAAATATTTCTAGAAGCCATCGAGGTTACAATTTTTCAATCCATAATACACACAAAATACTTTAAAGAATAATATGGTATTGTGATATCATTTAGTTATAAAAAGAAATGAAAAATAATGATAATATGGTAGCACATGATACTGGCTAAATGATAATTGTTGCCTGGAAAAAAAATCATTTCTAGAAACCACCCAATTGAATAATTAAGAGAAGCTATGGTGTTTTGCATTTGCAGTAAATGTTTATGCCTAGCTAGGCTACACTCAGTTTATAACTTATAATACACAAAAGAATAAATAATAGTTGTGATACAAAAACTCTTGGCATCCTAAACCTATTGTAGAGCAACATCGAGACAAACAACCCATTGTGCACCCCCACCTTACAATAGTATAGTCTATTGTTGGGTGGCTTTTGACGGTGACTTTTAACAGCGGTGGCTTATTTCTTACATTCAACTTATTCAGGTGCAGCCTGTACCCAGCTTTAGTAATTGTATTTAACATTTCTATTAATGTTTGCATTATGAAAATTCATTAAGGGTTTAAATTATCAAAACCTAAAGAATATAGGAGCTCTGTTGGTTATCATTTAAAATGTCCAGGGTTTAAAAGTGATTATATTGGTAAGACAGATAGATGCGTAATAACTAGACTTAAAAAGAGCATTCTTCACAATCTGATAGTGTTATAAATGATCATATACAAAATTGTGAGGCCGCATTCCAATATGTTTTAGGTTTACAAGGTATACTTGAAAATGATAATGTACCCTGTAATGTACGGTAAGTAATAATGTAGCCTGTAATGTAAGTAATAAATTAGGTTTAATATTTTCTAATACTAACTTTATTGATAGTTTGCAAAATTGGTCTATACTAAAGAAGCGTTTGTTATACCTAGGCTACACCCATTGTTTAACAATGGCCTAAATGCTTTCAAAGAAGCTTTCTTTGTTTTTGTAGGAAGCTTTGATCAGTAGGGTATAAGAATGCTTTAATCTTTAGTTTATTCATAGCTATGTCACCTACTAGGGTTAATGTTTTGATTGGTCAAACACTTTTGGTACTTGTGCATGTAAGCTTGCAAATATGGATAATTTTTCATTCCTGATGATGACGTCAAAACATTGAATCCCGACACGATGGTGTGCATTTCAATACTTGGAGTGTGTATTATACTATCTTCTATGAAAATTGATGTACTGTAATTATATTGTTTTCATAATGTTTTATTCAAACCTGTGTTGTTTTCTTATGCATTATGATATGCCTAGACCTATTATATATCCTACAATAAAACTGTTGATACTACGATGATTTTAATGTTTTTCCATGATTATGACGTCATCTGATTTGATTTGTCAAAATATGTTGTTATCGCATAACTGATAAATCGTTATCGAATCATTCTAGTGTAAAAACTTCTCTTATTTCTTTTATTTTCTATATGAACTATTGCTTTTTAGCTTTTTTATCGTTATCGTTATCACTGAAGTATAAACAGGCCTTAAGTCTGCTATTTGCAGTGTACTTTGTGTATACCTACATAAGAACTACAGTTGGTAGTAAAGTTACTCACCTGTCCTAAAGTCCAATTCTGTCAACTGTATAAATATTCTTAAAGCAAAAGATCTTGGACTTAGAGCATGGTGATTTCTACCATATAAACACCTACCATTTGTTCATCCACCGTGATATTGTATTTCTGTTTACTATGTTTGTTATGTAATGATTTAGATTTTAAGTTTAGTTATTAATTTTAGACTAGTATTAAAAGCAAGTATCTTTTTGGGAACTTTTTCTTTTATTATGTAGATGAGTGGCAGACATTTTGTAACCTAGATGTTTCATAACACTCTGCTGTGGGTGTTTTGCACCCTCTGCATTTTGTAATCAAACCATTTGGTTTCAAGTGTCCAGGTTGCAGGATATCTGTGGTCAAGTTGCAGGGGGGGGGGGAACTGGGTTTCTGGAGCATTCTGGTTGCAAAGTGTCGAAATTTCCATAAATAAGAATTACTTTGTATTCATGTATCTTATGTTTCTTTAAGTTGCAGTGTTTTTGAGTTAATGGCAGACTTAGGTATTATTTTTTAGTTGCTTTCCAATTTCTCATTTTGATTTTTTAATATTTGGTTCATTACTACATGGACTTTGAACATAGAAATTAATTTTAAAAAAATTATAGTTAATTTCATACTAGATAATTTTAATAGAAATAATAAAACCTTCCAAAAACTGTAAGTGTTTTTATCATTGTTTTTATTCACTAATTTCATTGCTTAAGTCGATATCTTTTTTAAGTGCATACAGGCACGGTGCAATATGCGCTATATAAATAATTGTTAATGATAAATATGATTATTATTAATAATAATTGGGAAATACAACTGAAAAAACATATCTGCACCAGACACATAAATTGTATCATTCCAATAAAACATTGTTCCATGCAAAATAACAAAAACAATTTTTTTTTCTAAATTAATTTGCACATTTGGAAGTAGACACAAAGTAGACATTTTTGCCAGTTAAATTGTAGAATTGCAGTATGCATTTTGTATTCATATTAAAAAAATATTATATCATTGAAATCATATATAGCTTTTAATATTTGTGTTTAAACTTACCATATAGCTTACAATATTTTGCAATATTTGTGATAAACTATACTCTTTGTGTTAAGGTAACCACATGAAAACACAAAGCAATAATTTTTGAATTTCTACTTTGTGTCTACTTCAAAATGTGCAAATTAATTTAGGAAAAAAAATTGTTTTTGTTATTTTGCATGGAACAATGTTTTATTGGAATGATACAATTTATGTGTCTGGTGCAGATATGTTTTTTTCAGTTATATTTCCCAATTATTATTAATAATAATCATATTTATCATTAACAATCATTTATATAGCGCATATTGCGCCGTACCTGTATGCACTTAAAAAAGATATTGACTTAAACAATGAAATTAGTGAATAAAAACAATGATAAAAACACTTACAGTTTCTGGAAGGTTTTATTATTTCTATTAAAATTATCCAGTATGAAAATAACTATAATTTTTTTTAAATTAATTTCTATGTTCAAATTTGTGTTATTGCAAATTAAGCAAGTTAATTTAAATATTGTTTTTATAATTTGTCATTTTCAAGGGAAATTTTTAAATACTTGTAAAAGAAATATATAACTGAATGCATTTGTAAAGCATGGTACACCCTTCCTTGATCTTAATGAACACCACCAGTGATTCTGTCAACGAATTCTGTCAATAAAACAGAAACAGTTAAGTAATTGGTTGGTAATTGCTTGAATATTAATATTGATATTCATATATGTTTGGCTAAAGTACATCAATAAATGCTTTAATAGAACTTCTGATGTGCAAGTTTGCTTTGTATTATTTCTTTTCCACAAGGGCGTTACACATGGTCAAGTATAATATTTTTAATAATTATGCCAATGGTCTAATTAACATTAAAAGCATATGATTCGATACTTCGGCAAATGTGTGTCAAGGAAGAATATTGCCAATTAGAAGATATCATTTTGTAAAGCGGAAATTTTGTTCACTAAATATAATTTCTACATATCAGCACAGCATTTCTAAAAACAAAAAAACACCTATGTAGGAAAATATACGTATATGTCCAAGAAAAAGTGTTTGATCATGTGACTAAATGACACTCGCTGATTAGTCGGCTTAGCTGTCAATCAAATCTCGTCGAGATGTTAATTTTAAACACAAGACAGTCTCATAATGCTCTCCACCAAACTGAAAATTATTTTGTAAGGTTCCAAACTCTGGAATAGTTAATTTGTCAGTAAATGCAATCCTCTTTTCATGTAAAACTTCTCCAAAGATTATTTTCTTCAGTTTACCTGGAAAATACTTGATTTTAATGATTTCCTGATAATTTTTTTCTATAGTAAAAGTACTCAAGTATTATGGGGGTCTTTCCTTGTGGGTCAAACATATACTAAACTACTTTCCATTGGCCTTGCCATGTGGGTTACTACAGTTAAATTAGCCTATCAAAGAGTTATCTAGTACTGCTAGGTTTATCATATTTAACCAGAAAATTGCACGATGCCAATATATTATAGACCTGCATACAGTACAGTATATTAATTGGAATTCAGAAACACATATACAAACAATTTCAGCATATTAATTGTAAGGTAATAATTGCATGGGTTCAAATTTATGTCCATTACCACTAGACTAACGGTATGATATGATACTCATTGCATACGCATTGTACTCGCAGTCAAAGTAAAAATACACACTAATAAGCTACAATTTAAACGGCTCTTTATTGTTGGAATGTTTTGGCGATGGATTGGACACCTCCTTCGAAAAGAAAATGGTAACTATGACAGACATGCTATTATGTGGACCCCAGATGGCAGGAGAATAAGAGGAAGGCCAAGTACCATTTGGAGAAGAACAACTGAAAAAGAAAGAAATGAATTTGGAGGGAGAAGCCGGGGTGAAGCTTCAGTAGTAGCCAGAGACAGGAAGAAATGGAAAAACATTACAGTACTCAACAAAGAATCAATCTCCACAGTTAGTAGAAAGGAGCAGTAAGGTAAGGAAAGGTTTAAATGTTATGCAATATTCATAAGAAATAAGGAAAGCATTGTGATTTAATGTGCAAATTAGTAATTTTAAATTACTGAATGTAATGATTATATTTATTTATATTGTGACAAAGCCGATCCTAACAATTACAGATCCTATATCCATCCTACTGTACCACTAGTAACTAAAATCATTGAAAGCAATGATAATATTTAATACTGAAATTTGGTGAATGGTTTCTACCCGAGAAGTATTACTGTAGGCCTATTGATAATAATAATAAAAAAAATTAACTAAAAATAAAAATAATATATATGTTGAAGCTTGCGGTACACCACGTAAGTAGTTCTGAAAAGAACTGTTGTTGATGAGAAAGCCTCGAAGTTTCGATTGAGATGCTTATATGTTTGGGTAGAGAGGCTGGATGGTGGTAAACTGACCAATGGGTGAAAGGCTAAAATACAAGCTGGATGGTGATTGGATGGATAAACTGACCATGAGAAGGCTGCTAGTGAGAGGCTAAAACAAAAGCCATTGTTCACGAAAACAAAACCATCATTTTGTAAAAATGTTGCACTTGCCCTATTTTGGTGAATATCTCAATATGATTTCACCAACGATGCGTCTCATTTCGTGGTGAGTTGTGTGAGTATTTCAAAAGCTTTGTTGAAAGCAAATAAAGGATAATGATATGAGGTTTAACTTGAGGAATTTGTTTTTAAACAGTACCATGACGATCTTATACAATAATATAAAACAATTAATTTTTTTTCTCATTTTTTTAGAACTAAGATAGCAATTTTGGAGGTCTGCAATTAGTGCTGTTCTGCTTATAATAAATAAAAAAATGTTTCAGTTAATTTAAGAATGATGAAAACAGTTAGAACACTCATGAAAATTTAAACAAATTGCGTTTGGATCAGGCACGGAATGCAACCAACATTCCACATGCCTCAGATCTTGATCTTGATTATACCTTTGTAATTATTATGTTAATTATAATTTATATTATATAAAAGCACAACTTAATTTCAATTGATTATGTCTCTATGATGATATCAACCACCAATTCTTTTTGAAAATGGTATAACCTGCATAATTAATTTCTGGTTGTCCAATCAGTAGCAACAGTTCACATAGTAAATAAAGGTGTGGAGTTCGAACTTATGAAAGGCAGCCACACAGTATTTCCCAGTACTACTGAATACAGTTTAGCGCACTACTGTTTATTGGTCCTACAAAATAACAGTTTTTTTTAAAGGATTTAAAAGAATACATCTAACGTAAGTTATAGTTACCTTTTTTATTGTCTGAACATTACTTTACTTTAATTTAGGAAATAATAGCAGATGTCTACTACTGGCTAAATTTTTAATCGGCTAACTCAATTTAAATACCCCCATGACTTGTGTGTATCACCTGGCGTAGGCCTACGTCTACCAACCTTACATTAAAAAAAAAAAAAACAGCGACGATGGAGTAGAAAATTACACAGGAAATTAAAGGGAAGGATGATTAATGATTAACATTAGGAAAATAATAAAAATATTGATAATAAAAATAACTGATTAAGAGTAATCATAAAATCAAACAAAACTATACTGCTATACAATTTCCAACTAAGAATAATCAATACTTTTAAAATCAATTCCACAAAAACTAATTTGCAGTTCACATTAATATCACAGGGAAACATTTTAAGTTAGCATGTTACCTTTATTTCTAATGTATGACCAAAAAATTGCACCATGCCAATTCTGCATCTCTATGGAAGCCAGCATTAATAATGGCATTCAAAATATACAGATACAACCAAAACTATTTCAAAATAACATTATATGTAAGATTATTTATTTTTATCAAATTTGTGTCTATGAAAATTTACCTTTACACATTAATGTTTTTGAATATTAATAATAAATTATTATAATCTATATTTGTTATACTAACACTGCAGCTTGAAGATTACGATTGATGGACTTTGTCATGTACAGTAGATAATGAATAATGACCTTATAATTGACCTTAAAAGCTTAAGTAAAAAAAGTTTCTAATCTGAAAATCACCTAACACCTGGCTCAACACTAGAAGGTTTATCTATATTAGGTATATTTTTGCAATAAATTCTTTTTAAATATCATTTCAGAATTCCAATATGGCTGAAAATGAGTTGAAGAAATTATTAGGAGATACAAGCAAATGTTCAATTTGCTTAGAAACGTGTCAAGAACTAAAAACATTAAATTGCCAACATAGCTTCTGCCTTCTTTGTCTTCAAAAATGGATGACAAGAAAGGGTGCACTGGAATGTCCAAATTGCCGCCAAATGCATCCAGTTCCTGAGGGTGGGCTTCGAACACTGCCATCGTATGCAATGGAATTAAAAACTGCTAAACACTTTGATAGACTCTGTGATATTAACATCAAGTGCTGTTGTGGTAGGTGCAATGCAGTCTTTTATTGCCAGGATTGTCATCAGTATTTGTGTACTTCTTGCACAAATACTCATGAAAAATTCCCTGCACTTAAGGACCACATACTACAGCCAATCAGTGCTAAATCACCTTCCCCAGAAAAACTGCACCAGACCTTGTGCCCACTACATGAGAAAGAGTTGGAATTTTATTGCAAAGTTTGTAAAACTCCAATTTGTCAAAAGTGTGCTATAACAGATCACAGTGAATATGATGGACAGCATGAGCCAATCAGAGCTTCTGATGCATTCAATGACCTCAGAGTAACAGCAAATTCTTTGATGGCTCAAGCTGATTTCCACAAACACAAGGCACAAGCAGGAATCAGCAAATGTACTGCAAATGCCTCTGAACTTAGTAAAAGAAGAAATAATATTATGAAGGACATCAACAAAACTGTGGAAGAAATGATAAAATTGGTAAGGGAAACAGAAATTACAGTAGTAGGAAAGTTGGAAGATGTCTGTAAAGCAAAGAACAGGAAAATTAATTCTCAAATTGATAAACTCAAATCAACTATATCAGATATTGAAGGAAAACAAAATTATATCTCAACATTATTGGAAAGTGGTGATGCAACAGCTCTCAATACATGTCAACAAATAATCAGGGAGCTGCAAGACATCATTGCTGTCCTACCAGAGACAGAACCCAGAGATGATGGGAAGGTTTACTTCTCTCCAACAAAAGACCACACACCAGTATTGACCTCTTTGAAGAACCTGGGAATAGGTCATGTTAGTGAAAAACCAAATGAAAACATTTTCGAAGTTGTATCTGAAAATCCAATGACTGTGACATGTTATCAACCTTTTAATGTTGAAATAGATCAAAAACATGAGTGTGAGATAGACATCAATGACCTGACAGTATCAAAATGGGAGATGAGAGCTTCCTCAACAAAATACGCTTCAATGAAATACACTGCATCACAATACACTTCCACTATAAGAATCGTTAAATCTGAGGGAAAATATTTTATTAAAGGAACTTCAAGTACAGATTTGACACTGGATGTCAAGTTTTGTAATTCTTCAATAAAAGGATCACCAATTAAAATCATTGTTCAACCTGTTGGAATTGTACGACGTATCACAAACGTTGGTCGATCTACTCGGATTATGGGTAGCAATATAGGTATCCAAGATTTAATGATGTCTGACAATGGTCGGTTTTTAGTTGTTTGTAACACAAATGAGGTTTTCAGGTTTGGAGACACAGGAGCATTTATCAGCACTATCAAATTACCATCAGTATCAAAGGTCCAAAGAATATACAAACTGAAAAACAACAACCTAATATTCTTGGACTGGATTAATTGTAACGTAACAATTTGCAAACAAGATGGTCAGCTGATGAAATCAATATCCACTGGTCAGTCATCTCGGAGTTTGCCTTCTGGTATTGCTGTGAATGAAGAATTAGATTTAATGTATGTTGCTGACCAAACTGCCCATTGCATTCACATTTTCAACATGGCAAGCAATCTAAAAATAGAAACGTTCGGATCAAAGGGTAGGCTTGAAGGACAGATTAACGGTCCATCTGGTGTTGCCGTAACAAAAGAAGGGAATCTCATTGTGGCTGACATTCAAAATCACAGAGTGCAATTATTTGGTTCTGATGGTCAATTCATTAAAGTTCTTATTGGTGGAGGGGATAAAGATGGAATGGTAATAAGGCCCTCCAGAGTAGGTGTTGATTATGATGACAACATTATTGTAGTCAGTGAATGCAAAGTACAGCTCTTTGACAAGCATGGCAAGTTCCTTAGAGTGATTCATCAGATTGAGAAGGGAGAGAAAAATTATTTTGCTATTTCGATCGTCTGTCATTTCCCTAGAAGACTTGCATTAGCAAAAGTAAATTCAGTTACGATGGATGTGCAAGTAATTAATTATTAATCTAGCAATGTACGAACTCTGTCCAAACTATCAAACTTTCTTTTCCAAAAAACTGTTGTATGCCCATATATAGTCATGATGTGCCTAATTATGGTCATGATGTGATGTCATCATGACTATATTTAGGCATGTCACATGTTCTGTCAAATAAAATTTGATAGCCTAGACAGGGCATTACAATTAAATCAATATTACTGAATAGTAATTAAAACTTAAAATGGCAGTTCTAAATTGATGAATTTTATCACGTGATATTGTAAGTATTATACACTGCAAGAAATTATTAAATAACAAGTCTAGAAAATGCAACAATTAAATCACATATCAGTTTTGTACGGTAATAGTTAAAACTTAAAAGGGCAGGTAAACATTGATGAATTTTGTAGATATTTTACATATGACTACAAGTAAGTAATTATTAAATAACAAGTCTGTATAACAATTAAATCACATAATTTTAATAATAACTAAAACTTAAATGACAGCTAAATATTGATATATTATTAGGTGATATTGTAGATAGTGTGTATGAATGCAAAGAAACAAGATAAAGTTACATTGTAAATACAGCAATAATTTCAAGATTGTATTTTTCTTTTTGTTCTTGTGTTTTTAGTTTTATAGCTGCTAGAAGTAACTAGCTGTTCTGTTGAAGTTGTTTTTTTTTTTGTTAATTTGGTATATGACTGGGCTGTAAGCTTTGGGCTGCCACTATGAAATAACATGAAATTATTATTATATATCTATTAAATAATATCTAAATTAACATTTTCAATGAGACTAATAACCTGAAGTATTCTTGCTATGATATTGTTATAAGAGTTTTCTGATTTGGTAAACAATAGTGACACTGAAAAATAAGATCTATTTTATGAACTGAAATTGTAGAATTTTTTGAGACTGTAGACATATTCATACCCTGATGAAGCCCACTGTGCAGACAAAAGCTTGAGCTAATAAATTTTACTGTATCTTTAAAGTGCTGTTGTCATTTCTTATATTGTTCTATATGCATAAACTGTAATGCCACTATTTATTCAACTCCTTTTACCATTGTTAATGGCATGTTAAATGAATTTCATTGAGGTTCAGATACATCATCCTAAGTAACACCAGCCTTAGCCTAGCCTAGAATTCTCTAACTACAGACTCAGGCTTACGCATACATTAATACACAGTTTGGAAGTGCTACAGAATTTCCATAGTTGCTACGGATATTTTGCCTATAATACAAACATACAGAAATAGGCAAAAATACTAGTTTATCATAGGTTTAGACCCATAAATAAATAGGTCTAATGTCCAAAATAAATGATTTTTCTATCAGAATCTGTGGTTAAATTGTCCCTGGACATCTCATATTTGAAAATGTGGCCGCTAGTTATCTTCCTGTACCATTTGTTTCAAATTCCCCAGCTGTTGCTGTACCAGACTGTCATTTATGCACATTGCCAATTGACATGTCGACAAGGATGCAAAGCTCCGCCCACAAAGTCACGAAAACCTTAGACAATGGCGGCTAGACTTACCAAGTTGGCGAACATTTTCTTTGCTATCAACCATCTTTAAGAAAGAGAATTCAGGGTAGGCGGTATGCAAATGAATCATATATTCATAGTGTTGTTAATCTATTTCATGGAGCATGGCGGGGAAATTGTTGTAAAAGCCTCTGTATTTCGCTCCCAAAGGAAGAGGAAAAAGGCGCATTCAGTCAACCTTGTTGTCAGCAAAGGCCAAGTCACTGATGCGCACTGCTAGTGTAAATCAGGGTATCTATAACCAAGCATAGACATCTAGGCCTAGGCTCACATATGTTTCGCATTTAAACCAGCTGTCTAAGGAAATTATAATGTCTGAGAATAAGTTTTTGATCACGTGACTAAATGACGTTCACAGATTTATCTATCAATCAAATCTCGTCGAGATATTAATTGTAGTCCGTGCAGGTCCGAGATGTAATTTACGAAACAGTTAGGTTTGTGTGCAAGTCCCGGCCACCTCCCGGCAATGTGGGGCATCATTTAATGTACATTCCTGGCAAAGTGCTGGCCGCAAATTCCCGGCCACTACCATCAGGAAATATTTTGTAGTCGTCTCTTACACGCTAAAAAATTAATACATGATTGGATGATGAGGCCTAGGCCCTAGACACACAGCAAGAAATGAAAAAAATTTGAAGGTCTAGCCTATGAATGTCTGAATCGAAAAGTGTTTAGAGATGAGTGATATGAGATGAGGCCTAGTCTGTGCTTTGCAAATGACACAGCTAACACAATCATGAAGCACAACGTATGCTTATCTCTAGGCAGATTTCCATTTGGAAAAGTGAGAAAAAAGGAGTGCATTAATTTGTCATAGAAAAAGAAAATTAATCGATTGATTTAATTGACTGGTAGAATTTATTCACTATCAAAACAAAAATTAAATAAGAAAATTAATAGTAGAAACAAGTCTAGATCAATACTAATGATTGGTTATCTTTACAGCTTGAAATTGACTATGGACCAATTAGAACAATCAATGCATACCGCTTGGAATACTGGTGTATTTTTTCACGCAAACTAGGTCAAATACATGGTTCACAAATCTTCATGCAACCAGCAGTGGCGCCAGAAATTTGCCAACAAAGGGTACAACATGATGTGCAACGGAGTGTCCAAGTCAAAGGGCCGACAAAGCCTTGGTCGACGGCTCGGAATAAACAATCCCTGCTAGAGTTCACGGGGAGAGTTTTCTAGACCACATTACGGATTGGCAGTCAAATAACGTTATTTGATAGGCAAATTATCATTTTTTTTTTTATCCAACAACCTAGTCACGCATTAAGTGCCCACCTGCCCCTGATGCCACCACTTCATGCAACGTACTCACTCACTGGTTGTTGTGTGGTGGAGGTTCAAATTTTATTAATTTATTTCATGATCATTGTACAAATAGGCTAAGGCTATAAAAATGAAACGCATAATAATTAATGGTAGAAGGCCTAGGGCCAGTAGTAGTAGGCCTACTAGACTAGGGCCTAGTAGTACTGTACCAGTAGGCGATTTTTAAAATTTTAATATCAAAACACAAAGCCATTCTGTAGGCCTAGAAACATCGGCTGTCAGGATTCCGTACTAGGCCTTAGGCCTAGACCTTTGCCTGCAGCCTAGTAGTAGGCCTAGGACAAGGGAGCCAGTAGTCCCAGGGTCCCTGCCCTGACTGGACCGGTCCCCCTAGGCCCTAGGCCTACTACCTATCTAAGCAAAAACTTGAGCAGGATAAGCTAGGCTAGGCTAGATTAGCTGGGCCAAGCCTACATACCTAGTCCCAACTGAATTTTTTCGCTAACAAAAATGCATTATATAATGTGATAAGAAACGGATCAGATGCCAGCCAAGAAAAGTATAAACAGGGCCTACCTTGTCTTAACACAACATGTGTAATTTGTTATTGTTTGGGTCTGTGTTATGCGCAGTGTTTACTCGTAATGTCTGCTATGGAGTGCGCCCTCTATCACTGAAAAACTTTTTGTTTTCATGTAGGTGTATAACCACACGGTACTTGCGCGAATAAGTTTTTTGGATGCTTTTAATCCGGTATTTAAACATGGTTTATAGCGCCTAATAGCCAGGACTTCTTTAAAAGAAATATGTTGGTATATTTTCTGAAATAGACAACTGTTTTACATAAATCGTTTTGTTCACACATCAGTCAATAATAATAATAATAATAATAATATTAAAAATAATAATAAAGCAGATGAAATGCTTGGCTCAAGGACACAAGCGAAATGCACAGCGAGAGATTGAAAACCCGACCTTGACGTTGGGAACCAAACCGTTCCCGTTGCACCAAACCACTTGACCACATCAGTAATTGACGTTGTTTATTCAATCCTGTGTAAAAGCGAATGCAATTTGCATCTTTGGAAAGTAAACTTTTGTTAATGGAGTGAAACCAAATGAGAATGCTCTATGAAAAACAGAAATCTGTGGTCTATTAAAACTTTTATTTTATAACCATCAACCTTGTCCTACAGAAAACTTATTTTTTACTGATCTATCAATACCATGTTCAATCATATCCATTGAGGATATTACTTACCTCGCATAGTTTAGTATCAAAAAGAAAATGCACCAGACTTCAAATAGCCTTACTGAACATTTTACTGATAATTCTCAACAAAAAACAAAAACAAGTTGCAAGATAAACAATTATTGCACAGGTACCTAATGACCTGTTGGTATGTTTGGTGGCATGATATTAATAGTGTGAGTTATGTTTGTAGCATCTGTTTGAGTGAAGTTTCTTTGTAGAACGAGTCTTTTGCATGTTAGTGTGAGATGTGGTTGTAGCATGTATGTATGCTTGCATGTGTTAGTTTATACAACATTTTCACTTTGCAAACCAAACACACAAACATAATATAAAAACAGTATTGTTCCAAGAGTTTGTGGCATGTTTGTGGAATGTTTAACACGATGCTTGTGGCATGATTTGTTTGCATCTGTGGCATGTGTTTGAGGTTTTTGAGGCATGTGATTCTGGCATTATTTGATTGTAGCATGACATATTATTAGCAGTGGGTGTGTGTCTCCACCTAAAATAATATACCTACAGTACTCAAACTTTACATCACTGAAAGCTGTACCATTTCATCTGTGTTAACTTAAAACAATAAAACTGTTCATATTGAAGTTTCAGCTTTCAACTGAAAATAAGAATGGAGAAGGCGAAGTGAAAGAAGTTAAAATGACAAAAGGAAATAACAGATAAGAAATAAAAGGAAAAGAATAAAAAGGAATGATTTAAAATGAATGGAAAGGGATAGAAGAAAGGATAAAAAAAAATATTAAGGAATTGAAACAGGGAATAGAAAAGAAGAAATGAAAGAAAGGAAAGATGAAATATGAAAGAAGAAATAGATAGATAGAAATATAAGAAAAGGAAATACATATTTCACAAAGCAAACTGGTATTTAAAAAATAATAAAACAAAAATACAAAGTACAGTACTGGTACAGGCATTTATAATGCACCTCTTCCTTGAGGTTATAAAGCGCAGTTCTTTTCCCTGGTCATTGGGTCCACATGCTTTAAGTGTTCCTGCTGGTAATCAGTGCAGGAGCAGGCAACCCCACCAGGTACCAATTTATACTCCTAGGTGGAGAGAAGTCATGCAGATAAAGTGCCTTGCTCAAGGACAAAAGTGAAATGGACAGCAAGGGATTGAAACCCCAACCTGGAGGCTGGGAAACCAAACTGTTCCCGCTGCAGCAAACCGCTTCCATAAAGTTAATTGCATATGCTAATATTTTTAGCAATGAATCTAATTTAAACACACACACAGGTATGGTAACGGTAGATTTTTAGTATAGTTGGGACAGAAAGTTGATTCTTGGATCTTTCTGAAAGCCTTCAGTGTTTTAGAATAACCATTTGTACAAAAAAAAACCTATCAAAGTTTTTGTTTTTTTCTGGAGTCTGGCTTTAATGTAAGCATTCATATTAAGTACAAATAATAATTTATATTCCCCCACTTCATTACTGTACAAACAGTTTAATTTATACAATTTCTCAAAATAATATCCAGTTTCTAACAAAATTCACAATACAGTACAGTAGTATAAAAAAACATAGTATCTCACTATACAGATGTATTGAAGCATTTTACATTTATACACACTTTTTACATTTTTCAAATCCTTGCATACACATTGAAATTAAAATGTCATAAAAGCACAAATTAAATGACAGCTTCATGTGACTTTTTGATAAATTATAGTGAGCTCACAATTCTTCTACAATATAAAAGTAAACATTCTGTGTTCTCCAACATACAACAACAGAGACACTCATTAATAATTAAACTAGTAAATAATGTGTCCATTATTAAATATTAATAAATTATTCTTAATAAAATAATAATAAATAATTATTACCTCATTAATAATTAAACTATTTAACCATGTGTCCATTATTAAATAATAATAAATTATTCTTAATAAAATAATAATAAATCATTTTTAAAAACGAAAGTACTGTACAACATAAGGCAGCGCTTGCATGAATAAAATCAATGTGAAAAACAGATGCATATACTGTATGTCAGTTATAGGCTGGCTTAAGCTTTGTCGTGATCATCATCTTTTTCTTTGACAATAAAACTGTTGTGCCTGTATATACTGTAGTCGTGATCTGCCTATATATGCCTAAATATGGTCATGATGATATCACGTCATGACCATATTTAGGAAAATGTTCTGTCAAATAAAACTGAATACCTACAAGTCTGGACAGGGGTTAACATTAAAAAAAATGACCTTTTGAGTATATTTCCAGCACGATTAAAATCGTAACGGTACTGGTTTGGTCTACAGGAGCTCGTGCTTCGTACAGGACATTCCATTTATAGAAAAAGCTTTTTTATTGGAGAAAGCATACCTGTCATACCTGGCAATATTAAATTGATTATAAGATTGAAAAATAGTAATCTTATTATTGTAGTAGTGACACTATGTCCACATTTTAATTTTTGTTATTTATTTGTTATTGTATATATTATTTATATTTAAAGTTAATGTATTGTTTAAGTATGAATTACTACGTCCATGTTAAATTAATCTTATCTATTAAAATTGTATATTTTAATAAAATAGTAATAGGCATAGCCAAGGCCTAGCCTAAGCCTAAACCTAATGACTATGCGTGTAGCCTAGTCACATGTATAAAATTATGAATAAAAAGTATGAATAAACGCAAATTGTGAAAGAATGAAGGAAGGAGGAAGAATAGGAAAAAGATTTGGAGCGGCTGAAATATTATCCGAAAATATACAATAGTAGTCAATATGCTATTATTGCATTACGGTTGTGTAAACATTTTTGGGCACTAATCATCAGTGGTCTCGGTGCTACAGCCTACATTTTCCTTATTTGACATCTACATGAAAGAAGGCAGCAGCGGAAAATATTTCAGATTCTAATTGAAAATCCAAGAATTTTAATCCAAATCAGGCCACTTGTTTCAAGCCCTTGTACAAAGCCACTTTATCTACATTGTTCCACTCCATCTAGGAATTGAGTACTTGGTAGAATAGAGAAAAGGCATGTCCAGATTATCAGATTTTCTTTGACAAATAAAACTGTTTTATGCCCATATATAGTCATGATGTGCCTATATATGGTCATCATGTGATGTCAAGATGAGCATGTGGCAGTCTGAACAGGGCTCATAGATTCATGAAGCATGACTGGAATTTTCCACAGGCAATGTTCGATAATTGCACATTTTGCATGGTTGCCTATGAACAGAAATGCTGCATGAATACAAATACACTAGACATTCAAATAGATTCATCTGCTACTTAATCATAACATTAGAACAAAAACAACGAATGCTACTCACATAGCCTAACAAAGTCATGTTGATAACTTCGACGAAAGTTTGCAGTAAGTTTACAATTTTCCTTGGTTTGATATCATTGAAACAGTTCTACAAATACAGTACACAAGACATCGTCCATGACTCTCACATATAATTGGTATGCAGCTGTATTTAAACCTATGCATTCACTAAAATATACAATGTATACCAAAATGTCATAGAAAAGTTGCTTTGAAAAAACTGTCACCTTTTATGGGTCATGTTAATAAATATTTGTCTAAACATGTGAATATGAAACACTCATATTTTAAAGCAACTACATGCTCAGAATGAAGGAATACAATATGCTTTAGTTTAGAAAGTAATTAAGTATTCATTGACTCTCTGAAGCAAGACTCCTTCCATCTAAATCTCTAGCGATACTGCACATACATCAGAGGAAAACCAGTCTGATCTGCATCTATACTGATTTTTAATTATTCACATCAGATTTTGCTTCACTTTTTCTTGGACAGACTGAGAAGTTGTTTTCGCTGCTGTTCCAAAAGCGATTCCAAGTGGTCAGCTCGTTTCGTTGCCGCATCGTACTGTTGACGTAGTTGATTCACTGTGTCCTCTTTCTTGACAATGGCTTGTTTGACCCTGCAAAGATAATCAAATAAAATGTACATTGCACCTAACAAACAGGTTTTAAAACAGTTCATATGTTGAATGATGTTTTGCCAAACCAGATGCGTATATACAGAATGCTCAAAACATTAATTCCCCAAAAAAAACTAACTATTAAACATTCACATTTTCATATTATGTACAAAAAGACTCTAAAAGGTGAGTTTGGGGGTAATTTAGGGTTTTATGTGGAAATTAACAATATTATCTAGTAAGACAGTAAATGTGGCAAAGACAAGAAAAACCAGTCACTTGTCGCAAATCCTGTTTCATAGATAAGGACCAAAACATGCTGGAATGTAAAAATTTCAGAAATCCATTGTTTAATTGCACTAATGCTATGCTGTTAGTTTCCGTATTTTCAATGTTAAAACAACAATTTTTAAAGATTAATTGATGGTTTCTGCCTGAGAAATGCCCAAAATCATGAACTTCGAAGGCTGATTTCTCAAATATTGTTCTTTATAGAGCTGTATGTTCGAATGCTTGTAACTTCATAAGGAAATGTCGGATTTAAATGATTCTCCTACCATTTCATAGCTCTCATTTTTACTGTTTAACCCTGTATTAATAACTAAAAATTGATTATTGTGATGAATGCCTGGTTTTGCTTCGTCAATTATTTAAAATATATATATATATATATATATAATCATTATTCTCAACAATTTACCGTTTATGAACTTCCTCCAACTCCTCCTCCTTACTCTTCTCGATTCTCTCTATTTCTAGTTTGTGCCTTGCTCTCATTTCCGACATCTCATTCTTCAGACGTCTGTTCTCCTCTTCAGTGGCAACCAGACGATCTGCAAACTCTTGTCGGATAACTTCTTGTACATTTTTCCTCTCCTTAGACAGTATGTCACATTCCTGAAAATATTAAAAAAATTAAATTAATGCGCTGATATATTTCATGCAGCAAACTATGGAATTTCCCCCATAGGCATCTTTCCAATGATTGGGGTAATAATTATCATCATCATTATTATTATTATTATAAATTAATTGTCGTATAGCCGTCGTCGCGTGCGGACGTACAATACAATTGCTCTCTAGCCCTACCGAACAACGTAAGCACGAACATCATTGTGGGACACGGGCAGCTTCAACTGTTAACCGTTACCGGTACAACTAAAGCCTTTGAGCCTAGTGGAGTGACCATGGACTCTTAACTGAAGTTTGGCCTTTTAAATATTTTGTTTTATTATAGTGTTCTTTGTTATTACTATACTGTCGACATGAATTTATTTTTGCTTTTAATTCTGTGTATGATGGCATCGAACAATGGTTGCATGGTATGTTCAACATTTTTTATTCAGCAAGATAGCACTTCTCGGCATAAACCGAAATATTCTGGTAATAGTGTAAATTATTACTCTGGTTATACACATTCTGCTAGTATTTAACTCTACAATGTTTTAATAATTTGATGAATTTTAAATATTTTATATTTTTATATTGTACATAGAAATATTTTACTACAATCTTCGCCTGTAAGTGGGACCTTCTTGGTCCTGTTGGACGATTGAAGAAAATAAAAAATAAAAAAAAATAAATTATTTGGAATCAAGTATGAAGGTAAGGTTTGTTTTATTACAGTACTTTTTGATAACTAAGCTACAAATAAAATGCACGAGTTTATAATATTAATTAATTTTAACATTAAAGGAATAAATGCCAAGATTTGTTAACAATAAATTCCTTCATTATCCTTCATCATTATGAACACTTGTAATTAGACTATTTTACTCAGGAGCAAGAGCGTCGATCTGTGGTTGAAAGTGGGGGGTGGGGGGAACGAAATGAAAAATAACCAGGGGATCAGGTGGCGAAAGCCCCGAAAGCTCTGGCGCCTATAGCCTTTTAATTGATTTTAAGCAATGCAATTAACATTTATTTCCATACGAAATTTCAAAATATCCAGTGGCGCATCCAGTAATTTGAAATAGAGCTGGGCCCAGAGAGGGACTTTTACAGATGGAGAGTGTAGACCCCCTCAGCCCCACCGTGGTTGATTATGATTATGGCACCTCTAGTTGGTCAGAAATGGCACTCTCAGATTGAATTTGAATATAATTTTCATTTTTCTCCACTTTTAAATTTGGGGGAAAAAAAAAATTAGGGATGGTGGGCCGGCTGGCCCCTGGATCTGCCACTAAAATACTCATCATAAAAAGTTTTTAAAATTATCCTTTTAGTCATAATTATGCCCACTTATATATTTCGTGCAAACTAACATTAATAAAAATAATCATCATGATTATTTTTATGAATGTTAGTTTGGGATAGGGATTCTTCTTGCAACATTTTCGTTTAAGACTATACATTGAGATCAAACCCTTTATATGTACCTGTTGGAGACGGAAATTCATCCTGAATCCTCTAAACGCAAAATGAGGGAATAATCCATCTATGCCTTTAATAAGTAAATGGACGGTAGCTGTGATGGCGGTTTGATTATTCAGCTCTTCTGGTTCTAATTCTGCAAGCTGTCCAAAATCCTGCTTCATGGTTCTGGAAAATGACAGATGCATCTCATCAAAAACGTACAGTAGACTGCCATTGTCTGAAATTAAAAAGTATCAATATTCTTGTAACTACTATGTACTGAACTGTACGTTTATCATATTAAAAGTTTATACAATATTATAAAATAATGAACTGAAAATATATACTGAATCTTGTCTCTTATTCTGAATTATCACTCCATAAAGCATTATATAGCAGTACACACAGTTTAAATATAGTTATTTAGTTTATAGATGGGATATTGACAGCAAAAAGAATTTCCCACATCAATAATCTTTTCCTACATTGCACATGCATAATGTAGAGTGCCATGTATTTACAGAATCTGTTTATACCCCCTGCATACACACATGTATTTTAAACCCACAACACCTGAAGATGGGCCTACCTACATGATTGGTATATTATTTTTTTTTATTTTTTTTTATGTTCGTCCATGCATCTGCCCGAATAGTAGTACATTTTCAACTTGCTAAAATTTATAAGCACGAGTGTTGGCAGGCCACAACCCACACACAAGACACTGGGTCTTTAACAAGGTACGTCTGCAACTGAATTATTCTTATTTAATTTTTTTTTCTTATTTTTTTTTCTTTATTTTTTTTAAAAGTGTACTTTCTATCACATATAATTGCACTGTCTACTTAGGCTTAGTCTTGCTAATAAACAGCCTCACCGTCCCCACTACACAGTACATCAGTAGACTAGGCAACAGAACGTGATGTGCCATCCTTCCCAGGTTTTCATGTAACATTTTCATATTGTTGGCTAACTAACTTATGCTTACCATTACCCCATAAGCTTAGCCTATAAAAGGACCAGACTTTTTCCCGCCTATAGGCATTACCCCTACTAATTTTGATCAGGTCTAATGAACCTGGGGTGTCGTATCAGGACATGGTCATAAATACAAACACACATTCTTATAAGTTTACAGTGTCAAAGGGTTAGGGGTAACCAGAACAAACACAAAATTAACACCTACTTTGTGCTTCAAAACAAAAGGATAAAGGGATATAAGGTTAAAATCGACATTTCAGTTTACTTCTGCTTGCATTTATACACACATATAAATAGATCCTTGCCATTTTATTTCAAACATGATCCTTTTGTGTCTGATTAGTAATGGTTCAATACACCTTTATTCACAAAAGGCAAGGTGTCCCATTTGTTTACTCTCTTTGACTGAATTGCTCCTATATCGATCAATATAATTACACCACATGACATAAATCTCGATGCGAGTCTAATTTTCAAAAGTATCAAGAGGCTTTTGGTTATACAATGGTAACAAGCCAATGACATGCCACAATGGTATCGCCCTCACAATGGTATCGCCATGCATTATTAAATTTCTGTCAGATCGCCACGTCAGCACACGCAGATAGCAGCCCTTTATACCAGTAATGCTCTCGTCAATAATCAACAGGACTTACAAATAATTTGTGGAAATTCTTGGATATGAAGCACACTAAAAGTGGTGTAAGTGAACTTTAATTATCACTTCAAGTAAATTTTTATTACAATTTACAGTTACCTGTATTTTCACTTGTTTCTCTATTGCTTCAAAAGTTTTCTATGTTGTTGTAGTTTAACGATGCAGCATCTTGAAGCAACCAATCTTTCTAAAAAGACTGAAAAGAGTCTCCATGAATAAAAACTGTTATTATTATTATATTATTATTATTATTATTATTATTATTATTATTATTATTATTATTATTATTATTATTATTACTAGCTGTACATTCAGAAACATGGCATCTTGGGGAACCTTAAAAGGACAGGTGAACAATCTGGAGTATTTAGAAAATTTCATGCCTGATTAAGTTTGAATAACAAATAATTACAGATCAATATAAATTTTAATAACAAGACCCTACGTTGATCGTGATATGCAAGCCATGACTCGTTGAAACACAGCAGAGATTCGAACTAGCGGTTTTCTGGGCATAGCCTATTGTAGCAGCTAGGTACAGTATATAGGCCTGGGCTAGATGCTCGACAATGTCCTTTCCTACATATAGCTACATTCCATTCTCAATTCTTTTTTAAACAGTTTTAAGGATAGGCAAGTCATATGCCTGTATATTTGTGCACCTGTGAATTCTGAGCCTGCCAACTACTGCTTGTCAGTGGTACACTGCAGGAGAAGGGTGCAGTGTGAACCTTGTTCCTCCGCTTGTGTCTGCATTGTGGTTAGTTTAGTATATTTATGGTTTAGGTTTTCCTTCTTCTCTTCAGAATTGCCAACATTCAAAATAGATTAAACAATTTAGAAGAAAGTAGATGGCTTCTTTTGACACTTGAAACAGTGGCCTCTATTGCTAAAGACTAGTCAAATTAGATGGGAATGGTTTAAACACATCAGGGAGTTGTTATTAGAAATTACAAATCCCTGAACACATGAAGAATCTGTTTTCATCACATTGGTGTGATGATATAAACAACATTCCTGTACTATCCTAAGTTTCTTTTTAAATGAAGTATATTTTTCAGGAAAATGGTTATACTGCTCAAAATATAGAAGTAAACATACAATTATATATTTTTGTGATGGGGACACATAGCAGAATATAAAAATTTGGTCATACATTTTATTTTAAGTTACATGACCTCATTGCATATTCAAAATGGCCACCATAAAAATAAAAAACACTATCTTTGCATTCAATGCCCATATATTGTTATTTGTGATTTTCATATCAAAGCCTTTAATTTCAAAGCTGCAAGACAAGGAATTAATCATATGGAAACTTGTATCATTTGCTCTTCAAGGTCGCCTTAACCATTGGAGAAAACTGGATTTTTTTTCACAAAAGTACATTTTTGGTACAAAATCTATGATTTTCTTGTAATATGGCCCAAGCGGATTATGTTGTAAAAAATATTAATCTACCAATTTGTGAAGAAAAAATGAAAAAAAACTCTACAGTTTTGTCAGAATTCGCCGATTTACAACAGCTCCTTATGCCGATTTAGATAGGGAATTTCAAGAAATTTAAGGTTTTTGGCTGTTCCGAGCTCGTTTCTTACTCCCTCACTCACAGACTATTTCTTTAATTGAATTGGCCCAAGTTGATTTGTGGAGGGAATATAATAAGCTTGAAGCTGATATAAAACTTAGTATGATTGGTTGAGCAGTTTTATCGGAAAATAAGAAAATATAAAATCCATCCAATCCACAATTGCCTCTCATGGGGTCAAAAAATCTCTCAAGCTTGATAGTCCGATTCACTGGTATGACATCATACTTCTGTTTGCTTGACTTGTGTTCGTAGTGTTTGACTTCTTTCTTCATGTAATTTGGCCTAATTTAGTTATCAGGTGGATTTTTTGTGTGCTTTTATTACCTACATTAAAAACAAATGTCCCAAGACAAGATACTTGCAGTAATTAGGCTACATTTCTGCAAAAAAATGCAATTGATAGTCTGGACCGTTTGAAAATTTCCATAGGGGTGTAGCGTAGGGCTAAGCCAATCCCGCCAACACGAAAGCGTCGACTAGGGGGAGAGAGATCTCAGAATTTGTTCACTTTACATTGTACTATGTGTAGTGTTAAATATGTGTTCAAATACAAGTTTTAGAACAAAAGAATATTGACTGTGCAAATTGAATTTTGTTAGTACTGTTACCCCATAATGAAAATGAAACAAACCCAATGTTTTTAATTGGTCGATCCAAACTACTTGTACAGCAGGGTTGATTTGACCTCAGTTCGCAGCTTTCGTGATAGCAAATGATAAAAAGTGGCAAAAATGTTTTTATGTCTATCCAGAACACCAAAAATTATAAAAATATGATTTTTATGGTAAAAATTTACAGCAAAAACAACAATTTTCTCAGATTTCTGAAATGCACTACACATACAAAACAATGAGGAAATGAAATGACCTCAAAATGAACTGCTAATGTTTGTTAGCTTGGTACCTGACGTGTAATATGCATGGCCGGCAGAAGTGGTGGGGGGGCCGGGGGAAATGCAAAAAAAGGAGGGAAGAAGGATGGGAAAGAGAATGTTTATCCAGTACCCAACCGAGTTACATTTTCTCTCAATTCATATTGGCGGATCTGGAGAAGGGGGTCATTGGTCCTGACCCCTCCCTTGGGCAACAAAAAAATGGCAAAAACAGAAGAATTCTAGACCTACCTTTTCAGGACCCGTGAGCTGATTTTTATTTTTTTTTTTGCTATTAGAAAATTCGAATTTTGAAGAACATAATATTCATTAAAACACACTTCAAATGTCGGGAAAGCTCATTTCCCACCACCT